TTTGGAAACCTGCTCACCTGGTGAACCCTGGCCACCTTCCCTGGCACCTTGGTAGGGCAGTGCCAGATGGTTGAGCTCAGAAAACAATGGGCCTCTGTGACCCCCCAGGATGGGCCAGTTCTGGGGCAGTGCCTGGCTTTGGTTTCAGATGAGTCCCCTGACCCAGTGCCTGAGGTCAGTAGCTAGAGATTCCAGCTGCCCCAGTCCCCGCCCAGGAGGAGAATGCAGGAGTGCCCCCCTTCCCACCCGGACATACGCACCTCTCATCACCAACCCCCATGTACCACCAGGCTGGTGGCACCACCTGGTCTCAAGGAGAGCAGGGAATGCTGACCTCCATTCCTGACCTCTGCTGAACCCCTCAGGCCTGTGTGTTGGGATAGCCCCCCCCACATCTTTTGTGGCTGTCTCCTCTTGGCTGGCCGACCCCTTGTCTGTCCTCCAGACCACCTGTGTGCCCTGGGTGGACATCCTGAGGTGGGACGTGAGCCACCGCACTCCCAGTCACAGTCCTCCTGCCCTGCTGGTCATAGATCACTGCTCTGGCACCAGCATTCCAGCTGATTAAGTTGCATTTCGAAGCATGGATGATTCCAGGCAGAAAAGGAGGCAAGGGACCCCCCGCAGAGGGGACCCAGCAAAGGCTTCCTGGCTGAGCTGTGCGGCTCTTCTGGAGGACCTGCAGCCTAGAGAGGCAGGGACACGGTGGCGGGAGCAGGACAGGAGCAGAGAGGCGTGAAATCGGGGTGGGAGGAGGCCAGGCCCACCTCGGTACCTCCATCCAGGTGGCCATTTCTGGGTGGCCTAAGATGTAACACACAGGGCAGCCCTGCTCCCTGGTGCCCGGGAGGCTGGGTTCCCAGGAAGGTGGATGACAGGAATCACAGTAGTGGCTTGTTCAGTGCCTCACGGCCACCCTACGAAGGGGGCCCATGACCTCTCACTCTGTAGATGAGAGAAAAGACAGGCCCCCCCCCCCCGCACCCTCCAGCTGGCTCACAGCTGGGATGCACCCCAGGGAGGCATGGGTCACCCACCCTCGGCATCCCCTCGCCATCTCCCCAACCGTGCCTGAGTCAGACCCAGCTGTTTTGTTGAATACGAAGCCCCTGAGGTTCCCTGCCCTCGGGTGTGCCCTGGTGGAAGCCCTGGGTTCTCACCCCTGATCCCTGCCCCTTGCTGGTCACCTCTCCGTAGTGGTTTAACCTTTCAAGCCTCAGTTTGCCCTTCTGGGAATTGGGGATCCTAGTCCCTGCCTTATCTCCCACTCCAGTTCCGGTGAGAGTCCCTGGAGAGAACAGATAACGAGAGCTTTTGAAAAGTACAAAGAGCGGCACTCATGAAGGAGCGATTATTATTGTTACCTCGATGCAGAGATAAGGGAGGGGGAGGAGGCCCAGTGACAGTTGCCAAGAAACCTGGGATCTGTCAGCAGCAGCTTCCGTCTGGCCCAGCCCACTCAGGAGCGGGCCCTGCCCCCCCCCCCACACACCTCTACCTTGCCCTTTCCCAGGGAAAGCAGGGTGCTCCAGGAGGGAGGGGAGCTGGGCCAGCTGGCTGGTGGCCATGAGTCCATACCAGCTGGAGGTGACCCCAGAATGTGCCTGGCACAGATTCCAGGTTGGCTTCGGCTTTCTGTGTGACCTTGGGCAAGTCACCTCCTCTCTGGCTGCTTACAGAGGTGGGCAGGTGCGCAGACCAGACAGGGCAGGATCGCTGCTAGACCAAGAGAAGACACTGCCGGTGGAACCCAGGGCGGTGACAGGGAGGTCACAGGGGGCAGAGACCAAGTAACCAGTCTGAGGGCTTGAGCTGAGCGCAGCTGGGACGTGCGTGGTGGAAGGAACCCCTGGCTGGAGTCAAGCCTCAGCATGGCCCTTGCCCTGGTGTGACCTTGGGCTTGTTGCTTAACCTCTGCGTGCTTCAGTTTTCTCATCTGTACAAAAGGTTGATAAAGTCTGATCTCAAAAGCCACTGCAGTGACGGAGAGACGGTGCCCACACAAACCTCAGCACCGTGGGCAGTGACTGTGGTCGTGGGGGGGCAGGGGAGGGGGCAGCCCTGCCCGTCCTGGCGTGTGCTAGGATCCTCCCTCTTGCTGCCGGTGGAAGAAGAGGGCAAAGTAGTTTAAGCTGAGCTCTGCTACAGTCAGGAAGGCTTTTGGGGGCGGCGGGGAAGGGACAGACTTAGGGGACCCCTTTGTGAACAGAATGGTAGCAACCAGGAGAGGATAGGTTGGGTTAGGAGACAGAGGTTCCCGTTTGTTCGTGAAGAGGGAAGACAATGGCCCAGTGGGGGCGGTCTCCAGTGGCAGGCAGAGGGGACTGTAGTGGTGGGCTAGCGGGGTGGGCCAGGAGGCTGCGGGGAGCAGAGGGAGGCAGAGGCTGAGGTCAGGCATCGCTTCAAAGGTTTTACTAAGCAGTTCCAGTTTCCTAAGAGGCACTGAGCGCAGTGTTAAGGGCTTGGCATCTACGCCCCCATGGTAGGAAGTCAAATCCTTGGACTTACTGTGTGACCGTGGGCAAATTACTTAACCTCTCAGTGTCTTAGTTCCCTCCTTTGAAAACTGAGCCTTGGGCCAGTGAGTACTAGTAAAGTGATTAGAGCAGAGTCTGCACCAAGGGAACGCAGTAAGCAGTGCCTGCTGCCTTCGCCCCTGTGACTGGTACTGTCACCCGCCCCCTGCAGCTGCCTTGGGCCGGGCAGGCTCCATGTGGCTGGTCCACAGAGTTGGCCTTGCAAACCTGAGATCTTGGCTCTGGAGTCCACAGACCTGGATTCAGATGCCTGCCCCACCTCATTAACTGTGTGACCTTGGGCCTGTGTGGCCTTTCTGAGCCTCAGTTTCCTTATGTGTAAAGCAGGTAGAGTCCGAGCATGTGCCTCACTGGATGGCTGTGAGGATGCAGTGGGATTGTGCACTCACAGGGCGGGCAGTAGCTCTGTCATCGCTGTCCTTCTTGTAGCCTTTCAGGGGTAGGCGTGGAATTTCCTCCTCTGTCCCTGGCCCGGAGCCCCGCCCTTCCCGTGCCCTTTAGGGCTCAGCAGTGACTTTTTAGGTGGCATTGCCTGGCAGGGGCTGGGTGCCACCTGGGAAGGACAGGATTCTGGCCAACAGGAACGGGCCACCAGGGCCTCTGAGCCTTGAGGGGCCGCCCCAGGCCTGTGCCAGAGTGAGTGGCCCGGTAGAGTGGACTTGGGGAAGACAGAGGACACTGCTCGCCCAGCCTGACCAGGGTGGCACCAGGCACTCAGCAGCCAGGGCCACATCAGGACTGCGCTCTCCCCGCGGAGGACACCCAGGCTCACCCAGCCTTCAACCCCAGGATGTCTGGCCCCTGGGCGGCTTCTGCTCCCCACCCGCCGCACCCGCCGCACTGCCCACGGTCCCTCAGAGGCCTGCACTTTAAATTTGGGCTCTGTCCCCCACTGGCTGGGGAGCTGACTTCACCTCTCTGAGCCTCAGTTTCTCCATCTGTGAAAATGGAGATGAATAACACTAGCCTCCTGGCACAGCAGTGAGGGTGTAATATGTTTGACCTCGTTCCAGGCACACGTGTCTCAATTGGGTCCCCATGGCAACCCCCCACGGAATTCACCTGGACATTTCTGTGGGACTCTCTCTGGGGGCCTCAGCCTCCACCTCCAGTTTCTCCCCATGTCAGTGGGTCTTGCAGTTTTCAAGAAGCTGTGTTCAGGATACTCCCTCCCTCACAAACTTTCAATGACTCCCTACTGCCAACCTTCACTCCGTCATTCAACTACTTAATGTGATACTGACTGGGGGAGCCAGAGTTTACCGTGAATGAATAAGGATGAAATTATTCATTGAGTGAATGCCTACAAGCTGCCCAGTCTGTGAGGAATATTTTGGAAACTGAGGCTGAGACTCATGCTCACATCCCCAGTCAGGGCCTGAGGGGATCTTGTCCACCTACAATGATGCCATGGCTTGGAATGCCACTGCCACCTGACCTGTCCTTTTGGGCCAAGCACCGCCCAGTGTAGACCCTTTGTTTAGGATTCCAGCACCCCTGGGAGGTGGAGGAGCCAAGCAGGGCTGTGGACGGTTCCTCTGGCCGGGGGGAGTCCGAGAGGGGCTGAGAACTCTTTTGGCGTCTCTTTCCTGGGCAGGTTTCTATGGGGCGTGGCGTCCCACCACTGCCTGACTCAAGCCTGCCACAGGCCACTGAGGCTCGTCTGCAGGGTGACTCACCCTCGCAGGACCAGCCTTGCTTGATAGGTGCCGGGTGGAGGTGCAGCCACGTCAGGGTGGCCCTCGGCAGCGGCGGAAGCCGGGCCTGCTCGCCCAGCCCCGGGCTGCCTGGATCCTGGGAACCGAGGGGGCACTTCCTCTCTTGACCCTGGGGGTAGCTTGGGCAGGCTTCTGGGGGCCAGGTGCTGTCGCACCTGGAGGACTGTGAGTGTGGGCAGAGCCCAGGTTGGAGCCAGACGGGTCCCGCGCAGGTGCCAGCTCTGCTGAGAGCCAGCTGTGTGACCTCTGTGTCCATCCGGGTCTTCATCTGTAAAGTGGGAATTCCGATGTGGTGAGGAGGCAGTGCCCTCGGGCTGGAGAGAGGGCTGTGCTCAGGCCTGTCACATCATGGGCCCAGTGAGTGGCAGTGACTGTCATCAGTAATAGCACTGGCTTGGTAGCCTCTTGGCCCTAAGGCTGCTGTCTCCCTAAAGGCTCATGGATGAGTTGTAATCTTGGGCCCCCTGTTTGTCCAGAAGTCTTGACCCTCTGCGGCAACCCTCCCTGTCCCTGCCTCAGTCTACACAGTGGGCTGTGCATCCTCACTGCTGAAGGCTCACGGAGGGAGGCCCTGTGCACACCTCTGATCTCTGGGAGGAGGCTCGGCTCGGCAGCCCTGCTCAGGAGCCGCCCCCTCCTCCCGGGCAACATCTACCTGCGTCACCTCAGAGATCACTTTTCCCCCCAAGAATTCCAGATCTCCCACCTTGGGGCTGTCTCTGACCTCAGACTCTTTCTCCTCCAGGAGGAGTGATGGGCAGAACCGGCGCATCCCTCAGGCACTAGACCTGTCACGAGTGGACTCAGTTCCCTCCCACCCTGCTTCACTCTACCCCAAGGTGAGTGCCCTCCAGACCAGCTCCTCCCCCAGGGCTGGGAGAGGCGGTGGGGAGATGTGCGGGGAGGTTCTGCTGGGGGGGGTCAGGCTGACACTCCCGAGCCCTGGTGGTCTGTGTAGCATGGGAGGTGGGACCCCGGAGAGGAGAAGGGCTTTTTTAGGAAAACAGCTGGGCATGGACTGGCCCGGCCACCATCTTCATCAGCATCACCATCAGCGTCCTCCTCTGTAAGTGAGGTGTGATGACAGGACCTGCTTCACAGGCCGTTGTGAAGACCGAATGCAAAAGCGCCAACCAAACACAGTTTGGCCCCGAGGAAGGGTCCTGGGGTCCTGTGCTCGAGGCTGCTCCGTTGTGAGCCTCGGTCCAGGCGCTTTCCTGTCCCTGTTCAGTGCTGAGCCTTCAGCTGCCCTCAAGGACCTGGAGCCTGGCAAATCACTAACCAACTTACGCAGAATGTCACATGCCAGTAGTAGCCGCTGGGATTTACTCGGCTTTACTGCATGCCAGCCGAGGACTGGGTGTTTTACAAGAGGTATCACTACTCATCCTCCAGCTGAGTGCTGTAATAGCCACTACTATTAGTTCCATTTTGCAGCTGAGACAAGGCTTGGGAGGTTCAGTTACTCACCCAAAGTCCTGCAGGTTGGATATGGCCCAGCCAAGACTGGATGCTGCTGTCACCCAGTAAAAAGCCGGGTGTGGTGCATATACCTATCATGCCAACACTCAGGAGGCTGAGGCAGGAGGATCGCCATGAGTTTGAGGTCAGCCTCGGGTATACAGTGAGTTCAAGACCACCCTGAACTGCATAGGGAGACCCTGCTTCAAACAACAAGTAGATAAATAAACCAGTGCCTGGCTCATGCCTCTTTAGCACAGGGATGATAAGCACTTACCTCTATGGTGTGTTCTGCAGTTTGTAAAACGCATCAATAAACATTGTGCTGCTTTATCCTTTCGTCAACCCCGGGGGGCGGGCCTTTTGCAGATGAGAGTCCACATACTCAGGGAGGTGAAAGGGTCTGCCCAAGGTCACACAGCCAGGAAATAGTAGAAGCAGGATTTACTTAGCTTCTCCCCCAGGGCTCTATCCTGGAGCAAGGCCCAGGGGTCTTTTCTGGGCCAGGAGAGAGGATGTGGGACTGCCACCTGCATGGGGGTCCCAAGTGGAGGTGCTGGTGGCACCAGAATGGGGCTCAGGGGCCCTCTCTGACCTTCTCTGCTTGGGGGAATAATGCAAGGCTGGGCCATGGGGGTCCTGGGCCTTAGCAGGAAGAGGGTGACTTGACGGCAGCAGCTCACTGCAGCAGCGGAGGCCATGAAAGACTCTCCCAGTCCTTTCCCCCCTGGGTATTTGGTGATAGGTTCCCCTCCTTGGGCCTCAGTATTCCTATCTTGGAAGAGGGTTTGCAGCTCCTTGCCTAGGGTCCTGCCTGCCCAGGCAGCCTGGGGTTGATCTTCGTAGATTAGAGCTGAGCTGCCTCCCCTCAGGTTTCCTGGCCTCCACCCAGTCTGGCAGCCTCCAGTTGGCCAATGCAGCCCAAACAGTGGGTGCCAACACCTGCCTCTAGAGAGTCCACCCCTCCCCAGAATCAAGACCCAGGCTGTGGATCAGCCTCCTCTGACAGGGAAGGAACCCAGGCTCAGAGACATTGAATGATTCTGGGGTCCCCAGCAAGTCAGCAGTGGGCTGAGGGAGCCCAGGCCTGGGGCACATTCTCAATCTCTCCCCCCTGCACCCCCAAATCTGTGCACATTTATAATCATGATAGAACCAGTCTGAGGGACAAGTGACCTCCCTGTGCCAGTGGGCAAATCTCTGGCCTTCCCTGTCCTGCTTCCTCACCTGTATCACAAATGAGGAACCGGTCAATGCCTGTGAAAATACTCGGCCAGGTAGAAAATAGGAAGCTCACCTGTTAGAAGCACCATTACATTCCCAGGGCTGGCGAGAACACCCAGAGGGGGCGTTCCCTTCTCTCTGGGGAGTCACCTTTGAACCCACACTGAGCTACCCAGGAACCCCTCCCCCTACAGGTTTCCCCACTCAGGAATTCAGAAATCTGTACACATGTACATGCCCAGCCTACCCACACCTAGTACAGGATGTAGTCACAGACACAAAACACATGTTTGTGCATGTACATGTGCGTGAGATGTATGTGTAAAACACAAAAACGCACAAACCCAGGCATTCCCATGCGCAAAGAATCACAACAGCTTTGCATGCACACAGCTACATCTTGCATCCTGAAGGTCTGCCCTCCTCCGGGCCCAGCGTGGGAATGGCGTTCCTCTGGCTGCATTTCGATGAGTGCCCGGAAGTGTGCAGGCCTGGAAGTGGCTCCGTAAATCAATATTTGCTGCTGTTAATTATTAAAACCAAAGCTGCTACTCTGTGTCTGGAACGCACATCTCCAGAGTTCCCACCAGCTCTCCAGACCCAAACCTGACCCAGGGCCACATCTGGGGGGAGAGGGGGAATGAAAGCACAGCGCCTTCTTTCCAGGAGCCCCTGGCCCTGGGGATGCAGGATGGTGCGCAGCTGCGGGCAGCTCTTCTGAGAAGATGCAGAGAGGCCTGGCGCTGAGCCGTGGGGCGGCCGTGCCCTTGCAGCACCCAAATCAGCAGGAGTGGACTTGGCCACAGCTCAGGAGGCACTGCCACTTTCCCAACATCTGTCCGGAGGAGGGCTGGGTAAACCCGGCCAGGGCACACTTCAGGGTCAGCCGGAAGGGCCTGCCCAGGCCGTATATTTTCCAGACGGGGAAACTGAGGTCCAGAGAGATGGCAGAGACTCACTTGTGCCAATCAGCAGGTTGTAGCAAGGCCAGAGCTAGAACTCACATGTCCTGAAATCTGCTTGAGCCCTTTCCTCCCTGCCATGGAGCCCTGGCAGCCTTCGCCACCTCACTGTGGCACTGTGGCGGTTTCCTTTGGGGTTGGTGGCAGTTAGGGTCTGGGGTACAGGCCAGCCCCGTCAGGCACTGGAGTGGGGAAGAGGAAGAGGGACAGAAAAGGCCTGGAAGTGCAGGTCCAGACCCTTCCCTGCATTCCCGGTTTTCCTAGCTGTCTAGGGCAAACTATTTCACCTCTTGAAATCAGTTTTCTTATCTGCATAGTGGGGATAACATCTGTACTTCTTGGGTTAGGACATGATGGGACGTGCGAAGAGCCCAGCATTAAGTGTTCAAGAAAAGTCCTGGCTTCAAGGTTACCCCTCCACTTCCTGGCCGTCTCCATGGCCTGTCCGAAAAACCTATCCTTGAGGCCCCGAGGTAGAGCACCCGGAGTCTGGGAGGTCACACAGAGGAGCCCGACCTGTCTAAAGCTCCCAGGACCCTGGCCCGACTACGCAGGCGCAGTGTCAGCGCCCGCAGCGGGCGGGCCGCCCCGGGGGCGGGGC